TATTTTTTTTTTCCAGATTTCCTTTCTGCTGTGTTGTTTGATATATTGTCTGTAACAAGTAATTCAATATCTTGTCCAATATTAGCTTCAAGTAAATCTTCTACAGTCCAACATTCTTTATCAACAAGTTTATGCGTTTTTTTTGTACGAATAGAACCAATTGAAGCTAAATAAACACAAAATATTATAAATATATATGATAAAAAATGACATACTATTATTTGATAATGATTGTATCCAAAATGTTCCATGTACAGGATTTGATGGTGGATCGAGAAGTTCTACAGGTTTACCATCATGACTTTTACTTGAAGGAAATTCAAATGTTTTAACAATCATTCCATAACCATTTTTGAATAAATAAACATTTGATGCATGTGATGAAGTTTTATTATCGGCAGTGGCCATTGAATATATTTATTGAATAAAATATGTAATGAGAAATTTGATAGAACAAGCATGAATTTATATGGATTGTATTTCTTACGTATGGTGCAATACTTATTGACAGCGTGTCACTAAAAGTAGGTGATGTCACGCTATGAGAGCAACAGAAGAAAGAGAATATTTTTTATTTATTAATCTCATGCATTTTCGTTTGTTAAGTCCATGAAAACCCTTCTCTTGTGAACAAAAATAAACATAAAAAAATTAACTTATGGATTTTGTATTATCGATTATTCGATCTCTTCAGTAAAATAACTGTCAGACATCAGATATAAAATTCGATGCATTTATTTGGAAATAGGGATGTTCAAAATAAATTTTTCTAGTGTGATTCATATTAGAACTATCATAAGAAATTCAGCAAACTAGAAGATTCTGTTATGACATGACATAATGAACAATAGAATAGTCAGTTGTGACCCAAATGAGGAAGGTGTAACATCCGGGCCTCTTTGCAAGAAAAAAATAAACACGCTTGGCCCTCAAGGTTGGCTGCTTCAAGCCAACATTGAGAATAATTAGTTCAAGAATATATTTACAATAAATTATGAAAATGAATTAGATTAAAAGAGAAAAAAATGAAATAAATTTTATGATATGAATGATTATTTGGAAGATTGATATTTACATACTTTTATGACTATATATGAGATTCTCATCTGATTGGTTACAATCTTTCGTGTTGTTAAAATCAAATAATAGATCCTTAAAATTTGGATCTATCTGACAAATTCGAAGACAAATTCTAGCTATAATATCTGGAAATAGATCAAAAAGAAAGTGATTCGAATTGTTTCAGTTAAAATTACTTTATTTTCAAACAAAATTCGATAGAAATAATATCAAAATAACAATGATTATTATATCTGTAGACATTTTATGACATGATTCGCTTAACTCTGCTGAGGAAAGTGAATACACTCAATTAAAACTTCAATTTTTTCTAAGTTTAAGTTATTCATACTGCATCACACTGAACGACCTCTTACCTAAGTCAACTATGACCTTGAAAAATCACCAATTGTTTTATCTATACATTACAATGACATCTAGTGTTGCAGATTCAACGTTGGCTTGTTATTTTAATAATCTCAACCAACATATAATAACAATAGGTAAAGATATGTTGTCAAATTTTTCTGCAGATCTTTCAATTTTTTCTTTTTTAAATATCGTCGATATGAAAGATTGATCATTAATCCAATTAATCACTTGAATCATTTGCATATATAAATATGTATGAGAATTATTTTGAGATTTTCTTTGATAGACGGCGGAACGTTTTGATTTTATGTTAGACTCAACATTTTTTTCATAAGATTATTATCTGAAAGTTAAAAATGAGAGAAGACGAGTTTTTGAATGCCACTTAGATGAAATTCAGTTAGTGTTTCTTTTATCGAACTGACATTTCGCAACTTGCGTAAAAAAATGTGCATGCGAAAAAAACATGCAAACATTGACGTCCATCGAAATACGACCTTTGAAAGAATAGATTCTGATCTACTTCACCGAAAAAAGTTTAATGGCGAAATAAAAATGTTTCACAAAATAAAAGAATGTTGCATTGTGATCTTCATCATTGAAAATTTTTAATAGACATGTTATCTTAGTCGCCGAAAGCAAAGAAAAATCTTAGCAGATTCTAATTGATCTGACTCAGATTTTTCCTACAATTTTTCTTCACTTGTGACGAAGAATCTCACTTCTAGCCATTATCGATGTGTGACCTAATATTGGCTTATAGAAAAACACAATGTTTACTCAAAGATGTTTTCCAAGTCTGCTTCATTAAGAAAATCTTATTATTAATCGTTAGAGGTTGCGAAAAATATTGGTCTTTGTACAAAAAACTGTGATACGTTGCTCAAATCTATCAATCTGATGAAAGAAGAAAAGCGTTTGAGTCTACCATAGTGTAATAAATGTGAATCTAGATGAGGCTTTGACCTACCCAAACCTTATGACTCTGTGGTCTATGCTTATTGGACACAAGATGGTAGTAAATAAAATGTGCACTGATCTTGTAAGAACATGTCATCTGTCAGGAAAGCATGAAAATTAAACAGTAATAGAAAATGTTGACAATAGGTAGAGACTATTTAAGCCTTTCTGATTATCCAATATATTTTTTTGTCTTTAAGCTAAAATGACACAATTCGATCAAATTGGTTCTGGCAATGATATGGGTATAATAATAAGTTATGGTAGTCTTGCAAAAAATGAACAGTCTTCAAATATACATGGAAGTAATGTTATTAGGCTTTTCTTGAATAAGCATAAAGGTTAGTCTGTTGTGATTTTAGGCGGCGTTGCTGTACATATGATACTAACTGATAAAATTAATAAAAATCCTGAAACAGAATTGTAAGTTGGATGTTTTTTAATCTTTTTTACATATATTACTGATATTTTGTGTTTTTTTCTTTAGAAAACCAGATCAAGATCAAACTTAAAAATAATTTCTAATAACATTTCATGTTAATAATCTTTTTATTCTAGCTAGATCGAATAGTTTTGTGCAAGTTTTGTTTTTAGATTTTAAGTAGTAAACTAGTACATCACTGTTTTTGTTAATCTAGCAACTTGGTCTAAGATAAGAAATTTGGAATACCAATTGGCATTGAATTTTTATACGAAAATAAACTTTTCTAGATGATAAGCTATATTTTGATAAGTTTTATTAAATTAACTAGATAAATGTATAGGAAGGATACACATTGACACTCAAAATTGATCGTATATCTAATCGATCAGGTTTTTTTTCTAATATCTCAAAATGATTTTAACAGATTGAGTTACAGTTTTCGCCAAAATGTAGTCTCGTTCTCGTACATTATCTACGGTAAATGTCAGTTCTCTATTCCATGTATGTATTCTGTTTGACTAGAAATACTAGAAATGATATACTTCGATCTCTCTCAAAATCAATTATACATCACAAGGAAAGAGAAAAGAACATACTATCATTAAAAATCCCGTATTTTATCTCTTTCACCAACAAGTTGCATTTTTTACAATGAAGTGAGACTTTGCTTAAACATTTTTCAAATATGTCTTCGTATTGAAAAGGATGAAATGCGAAGTACAAAATTCAGCTATGCTGCATGTAATGTATAATCGACTTTGAGTGCCAATCTATATTTGCATTGCTGTCAAATACGACAGATACGCAGATATGCATTCATTTTTTGAATAAAATTACTCGACTTTTGTCAAATCTTTTGTCAATACAAATAAAAATTTAGTTTGCTTATTATACTTAATAATAGTAGTGATATCGTCTCAAAGATTCGTATCGTTATCTCATGTATATGAAGCTTTTGATTGAATAAATGTTGAATAGATAAATATTGGATAGCTAATATTAGATGAAAACTGTTTCTATGAATGCTAATTGCTATGAAGAAAAGCTTTCAAAAAAAAATGATTAGATATATACTATCAAACAACGACAGTGAAGATAACCAATTTTCTAAGTACTAGCTGAGAAAAATCTTAGATGAGAATTAGATTCATCATCAACAATAAATCCAAATTTACTGAATTAATGAATTATTGTTATTTATCATAGTTACAAATTGTTGGAAATTTAATGTAATGAGAAGTTAACATTTAAACGATATTGACTATAAGAATAAATACGACGAAGAATATGATTAAAGCATTTATTTTGATTATGCTACAAAAGATTTATACGATAAATAATATAAGAATAGGTGCATGCTTGAGTATCAGTATCCGTGTGAGATGCGTGAATAGGAGTGAGGAGAAGACAAACGACACCAAAAAAATACTCGAACCTACGGCTTGAATCCAAAATGCCTTTCAGAAGTAAGAACAAATATTAAGTCAAATTTTTCTTTTGTGAAATAAATATAAACGAACGACATAAGAAAAAAACAGAAACAGACACTATTTTACCGCATGAATATTTGAAAAATTTGAATTGAAGAGTACTTTCAATATTTATTCAGTGTCGATTGTGATAGAGTCACCTTCTTATTCTTAGTAGAAGAAAATATATATTTTCTGCTCAATTTGTAGGTATCAGCAAGTGCCATCAGAGAATTTTCAATCAGCCAGTATATGTACCATTCAAGAAGCTGTATAAACACTTTTGTTTTTACTTCGCCTGCTAATAGCATTAGCTTGTTTGTGTAAAAATGATGGAAGAATGCTAGATTGAATGGAAGTGATGGTAGCGAACAAATAAAGAATGATTAATATTTCAAAGTACATAGGACGAAAACGGGAATCAGGACTGACAAATAGAAGAAATATTTGAGATAGCGTAACGCCTCTTGTTGCCCCATTTTAATAAAACACATGAAGGTAGTGATTGCAAGTTCTTTTCTTTTTAGGACTTTGATTGATGAAAGCAAAACTTATGCAAAACAACAGTAGATGTAATAATAAAGAAGTAATTGTAACAATCAGGAAAACAACAGATAATGATGCAATTTATGAATCTTCATTATAGAAAACACCATTGAAAACAATCAAATAAATAGATAATTCACTGACTTCGACTATTCCCACTAGAAAAATAGTTACACATCTATTAGTTGTGAAGAATGTAGAAGGGGAGGTAACAGCGTAAATGTTAAACAAGTCAAAGAATAATTTTCTTTCTATATAGATTGCTCTGGATATTCAACAGTTTTGTTAATACGCAAAACAAAATATTGTTCTCCGAGATTCGTTAGATCGATCAAAATTAAATTAATCTCAATGACATATTCCTTTGATATAGCAGGAGGCATTTTTACTGGCTTGTCAACTTCCCATTGGCCACTGGTATAATTTTCGTTATTAGGATCTGTCAGTCTACCATCACCATGCTTTAGATGGCTTCGAAATTCTTCATCTTAGGTTACACTATCAGCCTACATAAGAATGCCTTCTCCATGAAATTTATCGTTCTGCTGCTCACCATCATATTTAGAAATATTTAAGACTATAAAAATACCGTTTTCATGATATTTTCCTTCATACAAAAAAAGCCGGTCTACTGTTGTCCATCGTTAAATGTTGAAATTCTAAAAGTATGTGATTGGCCAGATAGATTCTTCAGACCATTATACCGTGTATGATTACTCATACTCATCATCGAAGAAAATATTGCAAAGAATGATAGTTTGTTTTAAGTTTTCGTGTTTTCATGGAATACAATGTATATTAAATGAAATGCAAGACTTTATGATCTCTTTTACATCTTTTAACTTGTTATTGCTTATTGTTGCTTATTCAAACCGTATCACAAAGAATAATGTAATCTAAGCTGAGCTTTCTTCTTCGAATGACAACAAATACATAATCTGCTTCTTCTCTTCTGATAAGAACTGTTATATATAGAAGAAACGAAAACAGTATGTGAAATGTTGCTCCATAACATGAAGCAAGAGTGTTATTTTGTGTAGACATTACGCCAAATTGTGTACCGTAAATATCAATATTACTTTATTCCACCAAAATGTGCTTCTACATGAAAAAAACATAAACAGCTCTGCGTAAAAAAAGAAAGGTGGGCAGTGTTGTTATAAGTGCGAGTCTGGGTATGACTTTGAGTGTTGCTTACTGTCGGTATTTTCTTTGCACCTAGATTCACATCTACACATCAGCTACATTCATATCCACGCCCACCTACATGATTTCGCTTCAGAGAGACATACAGTATCAAAACAGAGACCATTAGTATGCACAAAAAAAAAGGTACCGTAAATAACTAAAAATGCTCATACATCAATGCGATCAATTTTGGCATTGTATGTATCTTTGCAAAAAAAAATGATGTATCAAGTCCCCAAGCATCTCATTTTGTCGCAAAAAGTGCCTGCTATTTGTATACGTTGTCAAAAAAAAATCAGTCCTTTATGTTTTTCAAATATCTTTGTTAAAATACTGAGTTTCGGTGATGTTTACAAGCCATTTCGATTCGATCAATGAAATTTGATTTTAAATTCAAATATAAATGATTTTACAAACATTTTTTAATGAAAATAATCAGCAGGAATTCTTCTGTCTATGTATGTGACTTTCAAGCAAAACTGAAATGATCTTCATGCAAAATCAATGAAACTACAATTTTGATTTTATCATTTTTCAGAGGCAAAAACTGACTGTTGTCAGCAACTAGTTGCTTTTTCAAACTTAGTAGTAGCATTGAAGAATCTGATTTGTCACTTGAATAGAGCATACTCTAACACATGTAGTCACATAGACTTCGCTGCTCTTAGAAGTCTAAACTGGTAAAGGACGAGCAAACAAGTAGAATCCAGCAGGTGCTTGTATCATTTTTCACAGCACTATATATACATTTGTTTTTTTTTGTTGATAGGTCAAAATCGATATGTCAATTTATTTGATAATCATAGAAAAGTAAAAATAAAATTAGGAATTTATTAAAGCCAAACAGCTTGACCCTGTTGAGGAAAGATGAAATTAAAATATGAAGCATTTTCACTTGAGAGTTGTTCAATAATTTTCTCACGTGCTCCTTTTTCCGGTTTGATATGTGTTACAATAATTTTAACATTTTCCATTGAATGATAAGTTCTCAAAACATTAAGTTCTTTTAAAAGCCAATTAGGTGTTAAATGTCCGAATAATAGATTATCTGGACGTTCATTTGGAAATGAAACTTCAATAAAAATAGCTTTTAATTGATTAGCGACAACAAATGGAGCCATTGCTTCCCATAATTGACTAAGATATCTAGGTGAATATGTTGTGTTATCCGGTTGTATTATCTTTTCAACATCATCGGGACCAGTATCACCCAAATAAAGAATAGAAGCCGAAGGTTCATCGCGACGAGAAATAAGAAAAGCTGAACTAAGATACGGACAAGTATGACATAAACGAAAAATACGAACATTTAGATCAGTATTATTTATTGGAACTGATGTTGTTGATAAAGGATCTAATATTTGATAATCATATGTCTAATTAAAAGAAAACAAAAATGTGAATAGAATTATTCTTATATTTAATTTTGACTAACTTTAAGACCTGTTGAACCAAAATCAGCCCATGCTTGATTATTAAAATAACTTAGTCGAATAATATTAATTGTTTCATTAAGTCCAATAATAAATTTTCCTGATTTATCATTTGGAGTATTAAGAATAAATCCACTATTATGATCGAGATGACCATGAGATATTAAATAAGCTTTTATTTGTTCTCGAATAAATGTCTCTTTATCTGTATTTGATGGTAATGAATTTTGTTGAATTGCTATTCTATAAATATTTATTAATCCATATTAAAAATTTAAGAAAAATAGATTTTCTTTACTCAATTCCATGTCGAATAGTACCACCATCAAGTACTATGTATGCCGAATTTGGATTATTATCATTTACTGATGTAAGTAAATAAGATGATAGATTGTTTTCCTCAAGACCACCAGTTGTACCAAGTGGAATAATATAAAACACTGGTGAAATTTGTTTAACAGGTGTCTGTCTTGCATTAACAGTAACTATAATGACTGGAATAAGTGCCAAAACAATCATACTAATACTAAAATAATGTAAATTATATTTATATATATATATCAACATTTCATCAAGATATATTTATATGTGTTCATGCAAAAAATATTCAGCCATCGTCTCTACATTTATGACGTTTTTTTCATAATAATTACAATATTATGCTTGTTTCTGTACATGTTCTAATCGATAAATGTCGAGAGGATGTCAAAAAGACAATAATTGTGTTTTTTTCAATCAGATATTGCTAGTATATTTACCCAACGACAGTTGTGACGACAATTTTGGTTTTTGTGGTGAGTTCCATCAGTATGAATATATATATATATATATATATGTATACGAAATCAATAATTCGAATAACTAAAAGTAAAATATTTCTACTAGTAAACTATCTTTGACGATCTTAAATGAGGATTTATTGAAATCATTGAAGGCTTCGCTGATGACAAGGATGTATTAATCAACTTGAAAACTAATAAATATCACATTGAAAAGCTTGGTTAAAATAATTCGCTACTTAGAAATTAATTTTGAATTAGTTTTTAAAAAATAATCAAATATTTGGCCAACATTTCATATAAATATCTAACATGAAATTCAATGGTTCTTTGTAAATGAAAATATGAATCAGTTACTACTAACGATATTAATGTATATTATTTCTCACCGTTCGAGAATTGTGTTTATTCATAAATAATTTACTATGTTTCAAAATTGATATTTTTTTTTTCTCAATTTTTGAATACATTTTTTATGTCTATTTTTCTCTCTGTAATCAAGACCGTGTTATCTTATAAATTTTTGAGATAGAATGACATCAGATGATACATAAAACAAATAGAAGAATAAATAGGACATATTCATTCATTATGAATCGGCAAGAAAAAAAAACAGAAAACTTTATGGAAACAAATAGTTCGTAAAATCTTTTTGTAATACTTACCAGCTAAGAAAATGAGTTGAATTCTTTTTTTTGTACGCCTTATAGTTCCCCTTGAACACAAAAAACTATCTTTTTCTATTTCATTTTCGCATCACTTAATCCGTTATTTTAAAAAAGACAAAATATGCCACAAAATGCAGCGTGAAAAGAACTACAATTTACAAAGTAAAGCTCATTTCAATTCTGTACTTTTCGTTTCCAAAAAACGCAAAATTCGGTGCGATCAATTTTCGATGCTGCGAGAGGATCATTTTTCTACATCAATGAGAAATTCCTTTCTTCTTATTTCAATAAACTGTTCTATGTAAATTGTAGAGCTTTGCATACTGCATCTTGTGGTATATTTTATTTTGTTTTTACATAAACATATTAGTTGATAAATAGATGAAATAAGAAAAAAAGAAATTTTTCGTTCGCATAGACAAAGATGATTTTTTCGCATCGTCGAAAATTGGTCGCACAGAATTTTGCCTTTTTTGAAAACAAAAAGTACAAAATTAAAATAAGGTTTACTTTGTAAATTGTAGTTCTTTTCACGCTGCATCTTGTGGTATATTTTATTTTTTTTAAAAACAACGGATTAAGTGATGCGAAAATGAAATAGAAAAAGGTAGTTTTTTTTGTCCCAGGGGAAATGTATACTTAATGTACTGTAATGTTTTTCTTCGTTGTTTACATATACAATCAATAGAAGAGATAGGAGAATAGATTACTGATGTAAAGGTATTCAAGCATAGAAATGTATATACATAAAGGAGCATCAAGAAAGATCATATGGATATCATCATTATAGAAATTTTAGAATATTTAAGCTGCAAAAGAATAAAATTAGTAGAAAGTTAGCAAACATTCTTTTCTGTGTACTAACAAACTATATTATTTTATTGCATATTCCAAAAGGTTATAATTGTTATTATAAAGATATCTTTAACTATTCTTATGACTCAAAATGAGTTTTATATCTGAATAGACATAAAAAAAAAGACACTAACCTTTAGTTGTCAGCGCAATGTAAAAAGAATACGATAAGATATGGAGAGCTTTTCGTGAGGTACGCATCGATTATATTGAAGAACAAAGAACATAAAAAATACGTTAAAGCTTTATACGATTAAAAAACAGTCTAATAAAAAATGTTGTTGACTAAAACAGTGTTTCAAAAGTATTCTTACAAACTGAATTTCAGTCTTTTGTGTAAGCCAATCAAGTAGTTGATCAAACAATTCAATTGAATTTAACTAATATTCATAGATATTTAATTGAGATATCATAAAATGAGACGATTAACAAATTTATCTATATTTAGTCAAATGCTCCTATTAGAGACTTGCTTTTTTAAGGACACAAACACCTCCAAGTCAAGAATTGATACTGTCAGATAGATTGAGCTTATCGAACTGATTCTACGGACACCCATATCTTTTATTAGTAAGTAGACCGACTCGACTTCGACATACACCCAAACTATTAGGCTTTTAAATGCTAGCCTTAGAAAACTAGAAGGATGTAACTTATTTTCTCAATTTTAACCCTTATAAAATTGAATTTTGTATATAGTTTGTGCGAACGTGTCTAATTGATCTTGATTATCAGTTACAGTATTTGACAGTATAGAATATCATATATGCTATCATCAGCATCGTATTCTTTTCATATACTGATGAACGGCACGATCTTGGACAACAATGTGAGATTCAATGCTCAAGAAAGTGATTGGAAGAAGAGAAGCACAGGCATCGGTACAGCAGACCAAAAATTGATGCTGATCCTAGCAGATATGATATTCTATACTGTCAAATGTGATAATTGATAATATTAGATCAATTGGACACGTTCACATGAACTATATGCAAAATTCAAGTATAAGACTTAAAATTGAGAAAATACATCCTCTCTATTTTTCTAAGACTATCATATAAAAGCCTAATACAGACATTCTATTTTATATGATAAAGAAGAAAATTTTTTTTAATTGAATCCATCTCATGTAAACGTCTCATAACGATAATTTCAAATAGACAATCATAACATTTACATATAGTTTTCACTTTTTGCCATGTATTATTTAAAAGATAAACATGTTAAATATTATTCTTCACAGATATTTTCAATAGTCAGTATTATTAAAATAGGACCATATCAATAATATTCATTCTTCATTTTTTCTTTCTTTATATACTTGAGGAGTTATTCAAAACCTTATATTAACCACCATATAATAAAGTCAAAATAAAAGATAATCAATCATATGAAAACATATAAAAAAAAAGCGGCATTAAGAAGTTTAAATATAAAAGAAAGTAATGGCATGTATTGACAGTGTGCTAGAAGAAAATGTTTTGGGGCATTGTTTAATAATTTCACATGAAAGTATTTGAATAGCAAATGTATTCAAGTTTGAAATGTCCTTTCGATACTCCACTTCTCGCTAATTAGATTAAATCTGTAGGTCTTCCACTAGTTCGTGAAAGATTAATTTTTCTTAAAAAAAAAATGTTTGATAATTTCATCATCTGTCATCTATTTAAATTGGTAAAAAAAAGTCAACATAATTCAAGTAGTACTTGTCTGAAATGTTTGATTTGATCACTTTGTCGAATCTTCATCTGCGTTGCTCTCTTTGTTTTCAACTAATTAATGATTGCAAATTAAGACTTTTTAATTACGCAGGTTTAGTTTTATTTTGTATCGTTTTATTATTACAAAAAGACATAAAAGTTCATCGTGGGACATATATAAATCATGATTTTTGTTTTGTTTATTGAGTAACAGATGCTGGTTTTTTAAAAAGACCTGCTCCGGATGGTTTTGGTACTGGATCAAATGAAATAAGATTACCAAAAAGAATATGTTGAGCTATAGGAAATTTATCTAAAACCTATTTCAAAAAAAGAAAGACAAAATAAATAAAATTTCAAAATATTTAAACAAACCTCTCCATGATACATTTTAATCATTCCTTGATTAACTTTAGACCAATGAGCTACATTTGATATATCATAAAGTGTACTTGAATGTTCAAAAAATGGGCCTGTTTTAACTTCATTTATAAACTTAATTGCACCTAAATATAAATAATCATTTGATAAGCCTCGATAAAATCGTTCATCAATAGCTTGTTTTGGTTCAAGAGGACCATCATCTGTTAATTGTGATGAACCCCAAAGAAATGGTAAAAATTGATAGTCATCTAAACACCATTGACCTTTTGATCCAGCTGGTTCTAAATAATAAGTTCGTTGTAATCTCCGACATAAGTCAAGATAACTATATCAAAACAAGAAAGAAAAAGTATTTCTTTTCAAAGAATAATTAAAAATTTTACCGTGCAAAAAGTTTCAATATCATAGCTCGAGTATCTTGTTCAGTAAGTGCTTCGATTTTGCATAAACATAAAAGAAATAAAGCAAAAGCTAATTCATGACCTATGAAAAAAACGATATTCAATTTTTTTTTTTTTAAATGATTTAAATTCTAACCTGTGCCATAATCTAAACGAGTGCTATTACCAAATGAATCATGTAAATAAGGAGTAAGCTCTTCAAGATAATTATGAAATTGTTCAGGTAAAACTTCTTTTAATAATTGTTCACTTTCCTATTAAAAAAAAAAGAATATATAAATGATAAATTACTTTTTTTTTATAAATAAAAACCTCTTTAAGTTTTGCATGCCAATCACGATAACCAACATCACCAAAACGTGATCGACCTTTAGGTGGACATTGATCAATAAATGAATCAAGTTTGTCAAGTAAAATAATTAATTTTTCAAGAATCTATGCTTGAGATATAAGTGAAAGAAGAAAATCAAAAGAAATTTAGAAAAATGATCATACAGGTGATATAGGAACAGAATCTGAATTTTTCAAACCATGTACAGCTCGATTGAGAGATTGGACAAATAATGTATATTCTCTATATGCCTATAAATTATTTCAAAAAATTAACTTATTAAAAAATCTCGTCAAGTGTAAAAATCATCTTTCATTCAAGACTATTGTCATTTGATCGATCTTAGTAAGTAGTAAAAAGAAGTCTCTTGTCATTTTGTTTTCCGATATTTTCTGATCGAG